AAGTGCGGGACAAAATGTGGGACACACACACAAACACACACAAACATAGACAACCCCGTGACAATATGCGTTTTGTAACGCTGTTACACCGCACAAAACGCATAAAAAACGAATGGGCTGGGATTAGAACAAGCCGATGTCTCACAAAACACCGCTCGTATACGACGGTCTGAATTCAAAGAACAGACAGCTGTAGAATGGATAATTTATATGCACATAACTGATTAGCGCAGTGCAAGCAGTATCCCGACAGCGACGGCAACAGACACTACAGAGAGGTACTTCAGCCTCTCATTCTGCTTTCGGATTGAACTTTAAATGATCAACTGACAAGAGCAGCAAGATCTCTTGAAAATTTTGCACTTCCCAGACAAACATCTGTTAGGTTCCCTGACCCGGGCGTTCCAATCGACTGGCCCGGTGCTGCGGCCTTTCAAGTCAGGTCGTGGGCTCCGCAGTGACAACTTGCTGTAGCAGAGGGGTCTTCGTCGCTCGTAAGTCGTCCTGGTCGGCACACTTCACGGTATCAGTACTAGTCGATTAACACTATTTTACAGTACAGATACGCCAGCCTTATATAGCCGCTTTCGCGCAAATACACGGCCTATCTAGGAGGGAGACATGATGCAACAGACCTACCGATTAAAGACCATATCTGTTCGAGAAAAGTAACAGTACTAACAGATGGGAAGTCGTTCGAGATGTGCTTGTGCCTCCGTTTCTATATGTGATGTCGCACTGCGGAGCAAAGAAAAGCCATGTCCAGATCAGCCCTGGCCACGGTGATCATCGAAAGCTCAGCGCCTGCTTTGGTGAAGCGCTATGATGAAGCAACAACTGCCTGAAAAAGACCAAAAACGTATGAATAAAGTACGAATGTTCGGCTACAATTCAAAGTATTACGTGACTAAAACAAATTTCGCCTTGCAAATGCGCTTCCCGAAACCACAAGATGCCAGTTTTCTCGTGGCTAACAAGCTAGCTTGGCAACGGGCCTGAAATAGTAGAATGGAAGGATTGGTCTTAAGTGTCATGTGCTGAAGGACATTTTACTGCGTGGTAAGCCTGTGTTTCATCCCTTAGCTGTAAACAGAGACCGAGCAATGTGTGCGCGTAGGAGCGGGAATCATCAGTACAGCCTCCTATTCGCCATGTTCTGAACAGTCACGTGGCTAAATTGCAGGACAGAAATGTGAATGAGAGAGAAGTCTGAGAGAGAGAGAGAGCAGACAGAGTGAGAGGAGAGAAAGTTGACCTATATACGGATAATCATTACATGTCAATTATAAGTAAACGCTTTTTATGCGAACAGCATGCTGACTAGGCGTTTAATTCCTGAATCATCACCGAGGTGCTTGAAAGTCAGTCCCAGGTCCCTACAGTCCTTGTCGAAATCGCAGTTCTGTAACAAAACGAAATTACATGACAGGTTGTTTCGAAAGACGCACTTAGTAGTAGTTAACAGTAGTGCCTGATTTTTGTAAATTTTGCAATTACGAGATTTCTTGCAAAAAAACTGCGAGCTAGAAATGAAACGACAAAAATCCTTACTGTTTCAGAACTCGCACTCCCTGTATTGCATCAACAGATGTGCTCAGGTATTAGACAAAATTTACGTCTGCTCCTCACAGATTATAGTTGATCTGACACCTGTTGGTAAAGCAAGCTCTGCTCAGAATTTCCGCACATCGTACTGTACATGCATCGCCAACCCTCTAAGTTCGAAGGTCAGGGGACCACACATGTCGAAAAACAATAATCAAATTTCATTCTGGACGTGAAAATCAGCTTCCAATAAAACCGAAAACAATGAATTTTCATTCAAAAAGAAAAAAAAACGAAAACAAGTCATCAGTGATAATTAAAATAGTAGTAGAAACTTTGCAATAAAAAAAAGTTATAATTGAATGAGAACAACACACAGATTAATGGAATTGCAACTAAGCAGTCTGCTAAATCAACA